AGAGGGGCAAAGTATTTAGGGGAGAGTTACGTAGAGGAAACAGTAATCAGAAAAGCTTTGAGACAGTAGAAAACCTGGAATGGTCCAGATATATAGCAAGAGGTCAATGTGAATGGGTGACCGGAGTGAATGGGGAGTATATGGTAAGATTCAATGTTATGCGGGCCCAGTTATATAGTGCCTAGATATTGGCTTTTGTTTTTAGTAAAATATTAAGCCAATATAGAGTTTTGAGCTATAGTGATTTCACTTAGATTTTAGCAGGATCACTAAGTACAAGAAAAATATAGGAGCAAGGATAAAAACAAGAAGACCCATTAGAAAGCTCTTGCCATCATCTCATCATCATTTTTTTCTTTTTTTTTTTTTCTGAGAAGGATTTTTGCTATCAGATACCTGCGCTCACTGGAAAGACAGAGAGAGACAAAAAGAGAGCAAAAAATTACTCTCCCCCCAAGGGGGGAGGTGGCCATGCTGCAATTCCTTCTCCATTCTCCCCTTGGGATTTTGAGCACACATGCACACACACACACCTAGCATGAGTTTTAAACCTCCAGGGCTGGGATTTGAACCACAGTCAACTATGTGGAAGTCCAGTGATGTAACCATTATGCTATCTGCTGGTCCTTCTTGCCATCATCTTGAGGAGAAGTGATGGAGACCTGAGTGAAAGGTGTAGTGGTGTATGTGAAGAAAAGTGATTGTACTTCAGATATATTTGAAGGAAGATCTAACAGGAGCTGCTGACAAATGTGAGAAGCTGGGGATGATTCCAAGGTTTGAGTGTGAGCAAGTAGAAGAATAGCATTACCTTTAGCCTAGATGGAAGAGTCTATAGGAGAAGCAGTTTGAGGCAGGGGACATCTGATCAGGAGCTCCGTTTTGGACATACTCAGTATGAGGTTCTTTTCCAATGTCCAGGTCGCTATTTTAACTGAACTTACAAGTTGAAATGTGTGGGAAAGATCTTGCTGGAGAGATGCATTTGGAAGTGGTCTGTTTGTAGATGACACTGAAAGGCACGAAACTGGATGAGATCACCAAGGAGCTGAGAGTAAATAGAGAAAAGGCTCAAAGACAGAGTTCAGGAGTTCTTGAATTTTAAGAGGTTGAACAGATTGTAGAAAACAGCAAATGTGGGTGAGGGTAAATGGACTTGAGAACATGTTTGTCCTGGAGATCAGTGAGGCAAGTGTTTCTTGGGAGGAAATGACTACGGTATGTCAATGCTTTTGATATGTCAAGTTATAAAGATCAAGAAAGTACCACTGCATTTAGCTTTGTGAAGATTTTGATGAATTGACAATGACAGCTTTTTGTAGAATAGCAAGACTGAATGGAGTGAATTCAAGAGTTTTGAGAAGAGAGATTGGATACCGTAAGTGAGAGCAGATAGTTTTGTAGAGTTCAGGAGAAGATATAAAATGTTTATTAAGAATCTGACAGTATTAGTGACACTCTTACAATGACTGATTCTGACTTAAATATGAAGATAGTCAGCACATATTTACATTGTTTTCCAGTCATGCTCAGGACAAATATACAAGCACATAGTAGGTGCACAGTTAGATTTGACCAGAGCTAGGGCTTTACCAGGTGTGTATGATAAAGCTAAAGAAAGAGGAATAAAGGAATTAAAAGTATACTAAATGGAGAAGTTAAGATGAATGTAAAGGTGAATGAAGACACATTGTGTGAAGGGTGGTGTGAAGAAGGAAGACTCATTGTGGTGGAAGGATTTTGTGTCCCAAAGAAAATGAACTATTAGGTCATCAAAAAAGTTTGGTACATTTT